CACACACACACACACACACACACATGACACACAACAGAGGGTCAGTTTAGGTTAATCCAATGTGGTTTTATGGTGATGTGTGATCTGTGCTCACATTAATATGGTCATTAGACTTAATGCTTCCCATGACAACAAACTGATGGATGTATTGTTCAGTTTCAGTTAATAGCTGTCACTTAAATCAACCGTGATTAATTGGCTGAAAGTCAAAGCCAATGAATAAGCCAATCTCAGCAAGTGCTTTAATGGGCTTTATGGTGTTGAATTCGTTCAGCACAGAAAATGTTAAAACCAGTTTACGAGTACTGAATGTACAGGTACGTTGAATAATAATAGTGTGTTAAGAGATAAGAATAAGATAAGAATAACACAGACACTTTTGCTTCATATTAAAATATATACATATAATATATTTACATATTCAGTCAACTCCTCCTCATCTCTGCTTGAAGCTCGAGGCTAAAATAGCTGCTTCAAGCATAACACAACTGAATCACTGATCGAACTCTCAGCAAGTGAGTTGCATTGTGGGTTATGTAGGCGGCAGAGTTTGACAAGTTAGAAGAATGCTTTGATTTAAAAACAACAGATATCGCTGGTTCTTCTTCATCGAATGTGATCGTTTTTTAAAAGCAGTCGGACAATGAGTGCAATGCTAAATTGGTGGAGTACTTAAAGCTATATTAGTTTCTACAAAGGTAAATAGCTTTTACCTTGGAATTAAACACATTAAGACAAGAAAAACATATCTTATAATAGACAGATTGGTGTAAGTAAAAAACCTTTTTTGAAATTTCACGTCATAAATCTTATTTTTACAGCTTTCTTTTGTCAGAACTTATCCCATTGTTCACTTGTCAGAAGTTCTCCACAGAAGAACAAAAACAACCCTCCAGCTGTGTTTTCTTCCTCGTCACGATGCGACGGGAAACTAAAATTAGACAGCCATGAGCAAGAGTTTGCTCCTGCATCCTACTGGTTCAAATACTTGACAGTTTACAGGATTCAGTGTTACCAAAGACAACACAAGTCGACAACACTTTCCTTTGTTTTTTTATGTTTTCCTTTATATTTTGTGAAAGTAGGAAGTTGTGTGGACTTACAGTAATAGCCACTTAGTTCCTTTCTTGTTTCAGTTTGTCCTCAGAAAATCCAAAAGATGTGTCTAATGGATCCTTTAGTTTTTTGAGAAAGAAATTTGAATATGCAATATTGATTAAAAATAAAGTTCACTCACTTTTTTTCATTCATTAAGGTGAAGATTCAATACATACATAGGGAATTCCAGTAGACTTATCAAAGCTGGGGAAGGCAGTATAGTTATTGCAACATTGGGAAAAAAAAAAAATCATAATAACCTTTCAGCATGATGTAATTCAAGAGATCTGAGAGAGAAAACTGAACGTCTGCACCTCCTGTTGGCTCTGTTTTCAGGCTTTAGAAAATGTAGCCTTGATGGGAGACTCCGGCCAATAACGGGTCATTTCAGAAAGACGGTGTTCCCATTGGCTGTTCTAGAAATGCAGATACCCATACACATCCCTTCGGTGATCGCTTGATTCAGCTGCAGAATATACTGCATATATCTGGCTGCTAGCAGAAAGCTAAACTATTAGCATTCTCTCCATCTCTGAAATGCTTCACTAATATCGTAGCTCACTAGAGCCTTGAGTCACAGAATGTCTTCTTCTACAGGCCCACACGATTGCCAAGAACAAAGGAGCGTTAATCTCATAGAATTGCTGCTATATAAGAGCATCGGGATCACAATGATGTGGATGATGCAGGATGATGTTTGAAATTAATGACAAATACTCGTAAAGGTTACTGTATGAAGGACATGCATGTGCTAGTGCTTGTCTGGTGGGAGGGGCTTAGGACTGCGAGGAGAGAGCTGCAGGATGAGCCTACCCTGCCTAGTCTGGGGTAACACTTGAATTACAATATGCTAAAAGGTTATCATCAACTTTTTGTCCAATGATGCCAAAAATAACCTGCCTTCTGAAGCTTTAAGAACTTCTCCTGTTCATGGACCCTAATTCTTCTGATATAATACAAGTAAATGTAAAGTGATTGAAACCATAAGTCAGAAAATGTCAAAGTGACATTCTTTAAAAACAACAACGTATAAACCTGCGATGATGTCAAAAAGTAGGCCAATGAGGCCCAGGTTGAAAATAACTGGAATTATCCTTTAAGTGTGGTGACTACGCCCTCCGGGCTCCAGTTTTGCTGAAAGACTTGAAAACAGTCACAGGAAGGAGTATATCAAGATGGAGTTCCTTTTTTAAGCCCCAGTCTTATTGTTTCACCTCAGAGCAGGAGAGAGGAGGAGACGCACTCTTTCCTCGCCTGACGCAAACAGGAGACAGTTTTTCTAATCTGTTACCAAACACATACTGACATTGTTCAATACTGTTACTGTACACATCCAATAGATCATGGCTGTATGCGTGTCTGACATGGATCTCCTACATCCCAACTCTTTATGAGAGAGATCCACATAGATATTGGATGATTTATTGATACGGTTGAACTCCTAATCTATAAATACACACAGTCATTTTGATTTGAAGAGGGGGCATTGTAGTGCAGCAGGTTTAAATAATCAGCCCACACTCATGACCTGTTGTGGTAAGAGATTTATCAAGAGGAAATACTCAAAACATTAAAGGCTAAAGCTGGATATGGTTTATATTTGTTATTATTGTTGACAAATCCCATTACAGAGACAAAAAACAACAACATATTGATCCTAACAAGTATTGTTCCTCTTATTCCTCAGCCCCTAGAGCTCCATTGTTTTTTCATTACGATGAACATGGCCATAGTAGTTTATTTTGAGTCAATTCCACAAAACACTGCAGGAAAAAATAATCCCTAAAAAAATGCTAAATCAGTTTGAGTAATGTTTGCTTAAAAACTACAGTGTCCAGCTGTTTTAGGAAATTGCTGAGCCTTTTTTAAAAATGTAAGTATATATTTATGATCTACTTTTGGAAATTCGCGTTTTCATTAAGAATCAGTGGGCTAGGGAGGACGTAATGGATTGAAGGAAGCAGTGTTTGTTCTGGTCTTTACATGGTATTTCTTGACTACATCATGTATCGTCAGTGTGTGGGGACACCCCCTCATTCCAAAACATGTCATGTTATCCTCTCGTGTTGCAGGCTGCAGAGCCCACCTCCCCTTTATTGACTCAATATGAAAACACAATTATTGCACCGACAAAAAGGTGGTCAAAGGTGCAGCCACATTATGTTTTTCAATGAGCCGAACACTCTGTTAGTGAGAATCCTATTTTTAGTCTCAAGAGCGGCACACTGAAAGAAGCATTCTGGTACCTCACTGTTTATATTAATTAGGAAGAGTTACCGTGTTTATAGGTTTTGCATTGGGTCATGTAGGACAGACGGTTTGACACAAAATATTTGCAGTCCTATGCCAGTAGCTGTGGACTAATGTGCCTAGATTTCCTTGGATTGATGTTTGACCTTAACGTGTGATGCATATAAGAGCATAAGGAAACACTATTCATCATTGTGTTGTAAGGACTCTTAAGCACAGAAAGCCTCTGCTTGGTGTTTGGGAAAGCTTCTATTTAACAGGGAGACTCTTCACTGTGCTGTTTGGCCAGGATTACAGCAATTTCGTAATACACTGTATGTTCTTACATTTAATCATGTTTCATGGCCTGAAAAATGGGTAACTTATAAGTGTGAGGTCAGTCCATTTACCATTGCGAATAGCACCAAATATAAAATGGAGTCATGTGTTGTGTTTGGAGTCAAAACGGCCGGGACTTGACTCCCTATTTTCTCTTCCTCCTACTGATCCTCCCTCTGAGCCACTCCCCATGTTCATGCTCCTGTTTGCTGCTACTGAGTCTGTAACACACAGCACAGATATTGTTTGAGTGTAATAAGTCTCCATCAGCTGAGTAAAAATAGCTTCCCTTACTTCACTCCCAGTGAGTCACATTTAATTCACAGAGGGGTTAAATGTGAGCATGATGTCCATAAGCTGAAGGATGTGAAGTTGGGTTGTGCAGGAAACAGGGAGAGCAGTTTCCTGTTATGTAGAGAAAGAGCCTGTTGTGCACCAATCAGACAGGGAAGCAAGACTGGTTTATCAATAAGGGAGAGCTGATTTAAGATCACACGCTTTTCTTAATGAGATGTGATCAGTAATACTGAGAAATCCAGCTTCACGATAATATCCAGAAACTACAGGGATCTGAGAATGTATTGTTCTCACCTAATCGTGACTCGATCTAAACGTCAGACAGAAATTGTGGAAAGCATGAGGGGAAGCTTTGATGTAATGGAAGTAATATTATCTTGTGTTTTTTAAAGTAAAACATATTATTTGGGTTCTACACTTCTAATAAGGCACAACTTATAAAGTTGTAACTAATGGCTTTGTTCATGGTAAATAAATTAGTTATTTATTTGTAAACCATGAATAAGAACTTTTTCGGTTGCCAGGTTGGGAAATCCCTTTGCCTGGTGTTTATCCTTTCTATTTGCTAATAATACAGTAATTAATGTTGGTAGTTCATCAGCAAATGCTCATATTGAGCCATTTAGTGTGCAGCTATAGCTGTAAGTCATTAATAATTTATTAATAATCCATCAAGGATTATTCTTATTAATGATGACCAATCTATAACGCATTGGGCTATAGTAAACGACTTATCTACCAGTAATAAAGCAGTTATTTAGAACTTATGAACACTTTATAAAAATATATTATATATATAAAAAATTGGAATTATTTCTGTATAGTTCTGTCACAAAATGTTGTTTCACAGGTAGTCTATAATCAAGAAAAGTTGTTCTGCAGCAGTAACATTTCCCTTTTTGCTATAATGAAGGCTGATGTTAACATTTCAAAGACTTGACTGGACCTGCTGCTAGTGGCACCGGGATCCTGGTCTTTTTTTTTTTTTTTTTCTCCATTTGGTTTCCAGTCGCGTCCTGCGCGCTGTGAGACGCACAAGCGATCAGCTGAGCAGCGGGTTCCCTCTCAGAGGAAGATCAGACAGAGCTGCTGTTCAGTCAGACTCACTCAGTCTCTGTTTGCACAGTTCAGCGGAGTTTGGCTCCGCTGAACATTACTGAAACGTTATTCAACATTTTGTGTACAGAAGCTGCTTTCGTGGACGAGATGTTGGAGACGGTCGCTTCGCAAAAATGAACACAGGTGAGATTTATTTGAACCGACAAGGGTTTTGAAATCAAAGCCTCTGTTTCACTGCTTGGTATTTTATGTATTTAGAGTAAATGAGTATTAAGCCAGCTGGACATAGAGTTTTAGTTTGTCTCGTATTATCTTATATGACTTTGTAGTTTATATGAAGAGGCTAGATGGTGAATACATCGGTAGCAACAGGATGTGGAGCAAACCAAAGTGTGTTTAACGCAGTGTTTCTTTATGTCAGAGCAGAGGGCAGTGTTAAGTGTTATGTTGATAAATTATTCACTTTATGCCTTTCTGGTAGAATAAAGAGGTTTCTGCGTTAGTTGGCACCAATTGAGCTCTTTTTGTTGTAAAAACTCAAGCAAACATTGCAGTCATCAGGTAATGCACTCTTTTAAAAAATATTTTTTTTCTTCTAGTTTTGGGGGTAGATACTTGCATTTTATGCCAAATCTTGAGTTCAATTATCCTTATAGCTTATTCAGGTTATTCTCAGAAAGTGATCAAATGGTGTGCATTGGTTGTATCTATAGATATATATATAAATATATATGAATATATATATATATGAATATATATGAATATACATGAATTACATGTGTTCTTTTTTTGTCACTGTATATGAGATTTTCTTTAAAGAAGTAAAGGCAGCCTGAGAGGGGTTTCTCTAACTTGAATCACAGGAAGTGAGCCAGGGAATTCCCTTAGATTTTTTTTGTATTCTTTATCAAAGGATGTGAAATCACACATTACTCATTTAAAGTATTTTGTCATTTTATGATCAACTTCTTTTTTTGTTTGGGTAGCTAATTCTGGAAAGTATTTGGAAAGTTTTCCAGCTTAGTTACATTTCATAGGTTGCCAATTTTGCTAGGTGTAGACAAATATTTTCCGCATTTTGTGACGAAAATGGTCAAACTGCAACCACATAATAATAATCATCTAAATGTGACTATTACACACACTATTAACATTTTATAATGTGTAAAGTTAGAATCTTTGACCAGTTTTAGGTCAAAGGGACACAATATAAATGACCTGTAAGCTATTTTAAAGCGCGTAATCTTACAGTTTCCTTTTCCTGTTGTTCTTTCAGACTGCACCAAGCCTTCTGTTGCTCCAAAGCCAAGATTTGTTTGTCACGCCAGCCTGAAGCTACCCTCCCCTCACATGTCCGCAGCCAGGGGTCCCAAACCCTTTATAGCCCCAAAACCTAAAGTCACACCAGAGCTTAATGGTAACCAGGGAGGATGCTTCAATGGCGGCTTACTAAATTCAGATGGCGAGGTTGATGAAGAGCATGAGACAGAGAACGGTCTAAACAAAGTGGTTGCAGACGAGTTGCCAGCAGAGACACAATTTAACGTCTACATCCTCAAATCACCACAAAATAATGTTAAGGGGTCGGAGGACGGAGGGGGGACAGAGGAGGAAAAGGAAGAGGAAGAAGACATGATTCAGAAGGTGGACGAGGACTGGAGGTTAACTGACAGTGCTTTAACAGAGGAGGTGGACTCCCTGGACACACTTTGGGTCAGTGATGCTGGGCTCACAGCTGACTCTGAGGACGCAGTGGAGATGGTTGACACAGACGTGACGGAGGACATGGACGCCGAAGGTTGTGATGCAGGCGAGGCGCTGGCCGACACAGATGGCCTCTCAGTGGGAGACATCTCTGTTAATAGCATTGATGAGGAGGCAGGCTGCTATTGTGCTGACAATCAAGACATGAGGGAGAGGCAGGGACCTCACCAGATCAAGGAAGATGAAACCGGTGACTGTACGGCAGATGATATAACTGAGTCCCTCACAGATGAACCTGGTCTCATCAGCAATGGACACATGAAGGACACTGATACACAACAAGTTTTTCTCATCGACGGAGAGGAGAAAGAAGAGGAAACTGCTCCTGATTGTGGCATCACTAGTAACATCCTGAAGTTTAAATGTGGCCATGAAGTGAAGGAAAAGGGCGGAAACATACAGAGCGTTAGTTTTTATGACTTTAAACCTGAAGACCAGAAACAGGTCTGTGACACAACTGAGAGACATGTGGCTGTGGTGGATGACCCGACTCATGAGCCTTACTACGTCTCCTCGGAGGACATCATCAACAGTGAGATGATATCTAGGAATAACAAAGCTCATGGACTACCACAGAGTCCACTTCCATCTGTAAACAGCAGTGGAGTATCAGTCGGGAAATTTGAGAAAACAGCAGAAAATGGACAAACAGAGTGTGTGTCCTCTGAGGATTATGTGGAGGTTAGTAACCCTCTTGAGTACAGCAGCTACAACAGGGATGAAAATAAGGTGAGAGCATATCTGAAAATGACTGAAGAACTCAAAGCTCAGACAACGGAGGCCTTTTTTGATCACGTGGACTGCCAGCCGAGGTTCAGGCTTGTATCCATCTCAGTGCCGACAGACACGGACACCTCGCTGACATCTTCTCTCTCGGAAAGCCAGCTGCTTTCTCCAAGTGACTCGGATGTCTTCGAAGAAGACCTGGAGGGTCACATAGTGCCGTTTCTGGACGACACCACTGACACAGAACCGGACATCAGTGATGAGCATGTCTATGAGGAACCAGGGCAAAGCTCAGAGGGTGAAAATGTTTTTCCTTCTCATAAGAGGACACCAGAGATGCTCTCCTGCTCACTGGCACATCGCATTAATAATAATGTGGCGGAGTTCGTTCAGAGGCCCTACATGAGTGGATTTGGACAACCTGCACTGAGCAGCAGCCCCATGATAAGCTCAACGCGGCACAAGAGCTACAGCAAACCCCACTATTTGTCCCTGTACCCACGCTCCATCTCTATGGAGGGACAGGACATGCCTCTGGGTGTCTACAGCTACAGGGATGGATCCCCAAGACAGGGAGGCGCCATTTGTTCATCTGGAAGCTTCTCACGGTGCTCGCCTCTGTCATCTAGTGGCCTGTCCACACCGACATCTGTAGTGGATATCCCTCCTCCGTTTCAGCTGGCCTACATCACCAAGAGACCCATCACAAAGAGTTCCCCCTCGCTTTTCATCGAAGGAGACTCGTCTGAGAAAAACAGGAAAAAGAAATCCTCCATTAAGCGTTTCCTGATGCTTAAATTTAGGCGGAAATCAGAGAGCAAGCCGGTAGATGTGAACCCGTCCTTGTTTAAGTCCTCAGCAGAGTCCAACCACCACACGCCCAGCAGACTGCTGGATCTAGAGAGACGCAGCATCGGCAGCTCTCCACAGCTCAACTCGCGCTCTGCTAGTAAACCCCATGTTTCATCAGAGCCAACCTCCTCCTTCTTGCTCTACAAGGAAAGCAAAAGAAAAGGGAACTCTGTGGCCTTTCTCAATCGCAATGTCGTCCGGGTTGAGTCCTTTGAGGAACGCTCCCGTGTGCCTTTCACACCTCTTCCCCTGACCAAGCCTCGCTCCATCTCCTTCCCCAACGCAGATACCTCAGACTATGAGAATGTTCCCGCCATCAGCTCGGACTACGAGAACCTTCAGGTCCCACAGCGGAGGCCCGTCTACCAGGCGCCGTTCACAGACTTCTTTGACCGTCCCAGTCGGGTGCTGTCCTCTGCCAATGACACTGATGGTTACGTGGACATGAGCAGCCTCCCTGGTTTCAAGAATACAACACAGTCACCTGAACAGGAAACAGAAAGGTATGTAAACAAGAGTCTACAAATTTGAGTCTGGAAATCCTAAACTAATCATGATAGGGCTAGAGAGAAAGTCTAGGTATCACCAAAATCCTTGGTATTCATCCTCTGGGGCATATGAACAACATTTGTACACAATTTCATGGAAGTCCCTCCAATAGTTTGACATACAAAATTGACATATTTTAGTTTGGACAAAAGGACCGACCAGCTGACATTACCATCCATAGAGCCATGTCGCTAGTGTAGCTAAAACCTGTGTCTGTGTGCATGTGTGTGTTCCCATAGATTGATGCAGCTGGACATAATATTAGTGATGTTTTACACTGAGCACAAGGCTTTTTTTATTACTGCTCGGCCACTGTGTGGGTTTAACAATGCCCCTGGGGAGGAGGATTTATAACTATTTATTATGTTGAGTCCCCTGACGCTGCCATCACAGCAGACACGGAAGTGGTGATCAGTGGTAGGGAGGACAGTGCAGTAGCTTCCCTGCTATGCAGTGATATGTACTAAGCCTCAGCTGTGGTGTCCGTGTGTTGTTGGGGCATGTTGGGTGGTAGAGAAGGAAATGCTGGAGGTGGTGTTGGGGGTGGGGGTGGTATCTTCAGATTTAAGTGAAAGCAGGCTGGTTTCATTCATAGATCATTTCTTTAGTTGTGAAAACGGGCCCATGTGTTGGTGCTGTAGGTAGAGCCTCTCGCCTCCCTGCTGTAGTGTTATTTGTTGGTATGATCAGCCATGCTGTGCTGACATTTACCCATCCCCCCTGCATTCCTGTTGGCTGTACCCATATCATACTCATACTCATGCTCAGGATGATTAATAGTGAGGGCATTTTGGAGTCATTGCTCTTCTCTATCCAGTCAGAAACAACAGGCTGAGATAAAATCTCAGTGTGTTCTGTAGTCAGCAGTTGTTCACTGCAGTGCTTCCCTCTCATCATGTATACCACTGTGGCTGTGTGCAAAAAGACATGTACCACAAAGGCTCTAAAATACTGGAAAGATAGTTTGATATTACAACGTAATCTTTTGTATTTCCGTAAGTACTCAACACACACTAATAAATACAACATCTTCATTTTAATTGAGAATTGTGGTGCGTTCAAACTCCAAACTGTAAATTACAACGTTATAATGATATGTTCAAATGTAATCTTGTAAAATGTCGTTTTGGCGAGAAACTCTAATAAGTAGTTGTATGAAGGAGATGTTTTCACATCAATATAAAATAGATACTAGAGATGGAATTATGACCTGTTTAACTTCCTCCCACAGAAAATATCTACATATATACATCCCAGTACTGCTGTGGTTTTTTAGGAAGCCAAATGTCCGAACTGAAGATTTGACTGACATCTCCTTCCAGACAGCCAAAGCTTCTTCTCCCGTCTCACTTTCTTTGAGTGCATGTGAAGAGGGGAGGCTGACAGTCATAAACAGTAACAAATATTAGAAATCATCGGACACCTCATTAAGCAAAAGCTAGTTTTTAGATCTTTGTTTTTCCGTTGCAAAATACACAACTGTAAAGGTAACATGCCTCTATGTAAGAACCTGAGCTGTCTATGCTAGTACTGAACACAGACTATGGTATGATTGTCATTTTCCACACTTCCAGTGGATACAGTGCCTGTTATTACAGCAAAGAGATATCTGGATGGACAAGAGTCGGTGGTTGAGGCAGTAAGTTTTGCGGTAGCCTGAAGGGGCAATATTAGCAGATCGTAGTTTGGAGGTTGTTTGCCCCCATCACTGCTATCACCGGGACAAAGAGGCTCACAGATGAACCTGAGGCAAAATGAAAATGGATACTTTTTTTTTTATCTCCTTCTGAAATTTATCTCCATAGATTTTGCCTTGAGCCTTTATACAACATAGCAGGACTGTGAGAAGTGACAGAGGCAGTTCATGTGGGGTGATATAAAAGCCTAATATAAGAACCGTGTAAGTAATTTGTGGTTCAAATTTGTGGCAAATTTGTGGTTCAAACACCCTCTGGTATCTCATCCAGAGTTTGATCCAGTGAGCAGTAATGGGCCATGCAGCTCTAATGTGTTCGATGCAGAGATCTGAACTGCTCACATATGTTCTTCATACATAGCTAATTTGCATCTCAGTGGGGTTAAAATCCACTGGTGCTTGGAGTGAAACATGGCAGACACATTGGCAAGGCAATTGGTCACATAGAGAGGACGACTGCATCACTACTGTAAGTTAAGGATGTGTTTTTATTTGCATAGCTTACTCTCCCAATTGAGCCGCAGCCATTAGCATATTCATTTGGGCTCCCTGCAGAAGAGAATCTCGTAGCATAAAATACCGATATGCGTCCCTGGTTGGGTACAGTTGTCACTGCAGGCCTTTCAGGATCAGTTTACTGGGCTCTCAAGATCGGCAATGTTTTATCTATTCACATTTTCTTCTTTTGCTGAATATGTTTATTATAGTGATATTTCAATGCAGATGACCATAGAGGACTATAAAGATGGCTTAGACGGTTAAATTAAATTCATCTGATTTATTGTCATGAATAAAGGTTTGGGCACGGAACACAGTTCATATTATAATACCAGTGAGGCATAGTCTACCAATGGCCAACTAAGGGCTCACAAGGTGATTAAAGGAAAAAGAAAGAAGAACATTTAATTGTCTTTTAAGAACTTTGTTTTAACGTCATCATTAGCGGTCACAAATAGTCAGTACTTCATTATAGGAGTCACAGGCTGAAAAGGTTGGGAACCACTGGACTAGACCTGGTAATTGTAATGCAGGACTTTGAGGTTTAAGACAGTCAGTGTTGAATTATTACAAAAGATGCATTTAGTCTTCTACACAGTCAAGGTTTTCTAATGTATTACTCAGACTCAGATGTTTGCAGCTTGACCCTCAGCCTTTATAATTATCTGTCTACTTACTGTATGCATTTATTGTCTGTATGCTATATTTCACCGCGGCACCCCTTCTTTCTCACCAGTGCCTATACAGAAGCCTACAATGTGTGCTCGGTGGCTGTTGCTCCAAAGACTGTCTCAGTGGGTGATGTCGGGGGAGAGACGACGGCTGAAGAAGACCAAGGACGCACCTCTGAGGAGGAAGAGGGAGGTTCAGACAGCATTTATGACAGACAGGTTAGTTCTGACAAATGTGTGTTGAATTTGTGCAGAGTTGGAAATAAATATTTATACATGTTTTAGAATTTTTGATACCTGTTGTGATATTTTAATATCCTGCATGATATAAAAAAACAAAAACTAGCCACTAGCCTGGCTTTAATTAAAAGTTTAAAATGATTTAATTTGTTTTGTGTCAACGTTTTCCAACTGGTAGTTAGAAATAATGACATATTTGAAGAAAAAAACAAAATAAAACAAAGTAAACTGTTTTGACCTTGGGCAATTGCAAAATTGCCCACACAAGCCAGGATCTTAATGTGGGTTAATGGAGGTTAATGGGCTACTACAAGGCTATCCTCATTATTTAGATGATGAGTGCGACTTGGAGACGATGTAGAAAAGGGATTTATTGAACTGGTGCCATAAATGCTTCATCTCTTCCTAACCCTGGGCTTATTACAAGTAAATAATATGATTGTTTTCAGCCTGACGGCCGATCCAGAGCCTTTTACGTGGCTAAAGAGCTGGTGGATACAGAGAGATTGTAAGTTACATGTAAAATAATTCCTTCTATCAAACATCTCGTCTAAGCGGTCAAAACAAATCCGATTCCCTTCGCCTTCCTGTTTGATGGTGTTTCTATTTCTCTGTCCACAGACACGTGAAAGCCCTCAAGCTCCTCCAGGAAGTGAGTGATGCATCTATAATCTTTTTTTAATTTACTATTGTAATATAATTCTCATGTATGTATCTATCTGTGGGAGGGAATGGCAGCGGTTTTGACTCTAGGTAGCAGGAGGCTGAGCTCTGCATGAATTACCTTTAATTAAATGCTATTTATGTATTTATTTAACCAGAGTATAGGTTCACTGAGCACAATTGCTCATTTTCAGAAACACTTGCTCCACACTCTTCACCTTCTCATTTACAAACTGCACACCACAAACAGTCTGATCCGTTGGCCTCTGAGCAGCTCCACCACAGCAGTTATCAGGTAATGAGGGAGGAACACTTCTCTTTCCAAGATGTATGTCTCTGGTGTGGGGATTAATCTGGTGACATAGACCAACACTGCTCCAATATTTTGATTAATGATGAGATTCGATATATATAAGCTTATCTTGTTACACTATTGCGAATACAGGGGAAGGAAAAACGAGAGAAATGCAGACTTCAGTGAAATTGTGAGTTTAGTGAGATTTTAAGCGTAAACTACAAAATAAGCCTTCCTCCACACTCGCCTGTATGTTAGGACTTTCGGGAAGCAGTGGGGACAGCAGTTGGGGACGAGGGGGATCCTGTCTTGGACGAAGAGAGGCTTCGAGAAATTCTCAACGAGCTGCCTGATGTTTACACCCTGCACCGCCGAATCCTCAGCGAGCTGGAGAATCGGATCCGACACTGGTGAGAATGATGCGCAGACGCATGAACACATATGTTATACAACTAAAAATGAATTACCTTCCACGCTCTCACCTCTGGTTCTCCATCACCCAGGGAGGAGAGCCAGAGGATCGCAGACATCTACTTGTCCAGAAAAGCAGAGTTCTTGGTTTTCACCACCTATATTGGCCACTACGATCGAAGTATGAGCCTGCTGGAGGAGAGCTGCCGAGCTTCACCTGCCTTTGCAGCCATTGTTCACCAGTTTGAGGTCAGACCTAAAGTGCTTCCCTAACGCTAAACACACAATGTGTAATGCAACACATAATGCAACACATAATGCAATCCTGCTTAAATGAGTAAACAACAAGAAAACAGAGGACTACTGGGGACGTTTGGAATAATTTAGATATTTTAATAGAAAACACTTGACAAGGTGGTGAAAAATTACAGAGGTTTTGATAAAAAATAACAGGGAAACTTTGCTTTCAACCTCATATATCTGATACTTATCAAGAGCTTTACTTATCTCTGTGCTTTATCTCTTATCAGAGAGTTTAGTGTGTGTGTGTGTGTGTGTGTGTGTGTGTGTGTGTGTGTGTGTGTGTTTGTGTGCAATGACAAAGATGAAGTATGTGTTTTGTGGTAGCAGAGATGGCGATGACTAAGTGCATGAGAAGAGAGACCTTGTGACTGAAAGCAAAAGATGTAAACCCTTGAAAAGTTCAAGCTAAAGGCAGAAAGCTAAGTGAATAAAAGTAGTGATTTAATTTAGAGCAACAACTACACAGTGTTCCTGGCAGTTAAAAGAGACTGTCATGACACCCAAAGGAAAAATAGACCACATGTTTGGATGTTAAGAACTAATATGTTCGGTATGAGCCACTGAGAACAACAATTAAGCACTGAACGTCTCATTTAAAACAAGGGGATCTTAAAATTGATGTAGGTTGAATTTCCCAACATATTCAAACAATGCACTTTAGTATGGCGCTATAAATGGCCTCAAATGAATGAACACACACAAGGCAGTGTTTTTAAAGCCAGTCATCCGGAGAAGCTATTAAATGTAATTATATGTTAAAAATATTAAACATAAAAAATAGGATATATAACAGTATGCTTAACAGAGCAACATTCAAATACTACCCAGCGATGGACAAAAGAATGTTTTCAATATTTTCCCTCCATTTTATAGACCACTAAGGAGAAGACTTGGTATCAAGTCCTTGCAGAGCTGCAGTTTTCTCTGTCCGATTAACTAGCACCAACGTTTAAATGAGTTTTTAATTTTAAGATATTCTGGTGACAAAATAGTTTTTCCACACTTTTGAAATAAATCTGTTCAAAATCTTATTGTTGTATTGAACATGCAGAAGGACTAAAAAGAACAAAGCTCCATAAGATAATATTATGACTGTGTGTCTGAGAGAGAGATTACCAATTATCGATGAAATGATTATTGAAAAAGAGGGTGTTTGGCATGCAGTATTGCTGTCTTTTCACATGCACACATACGAACAATCAAACACACACTCGTTATCCTGCCAGACACCGTGCTGAGTGTTGTTGGCCCTTGTTCACACTTAAAATATTAGGGGCGATTCTGCTCAAAGCTCCAGTGCTGTTGTATAATTTGCTTCTCAGTGCAACTTTTATTTTCTTTATCAAAGTTTTGTATACACCCAGTGAGATCCCTTGACTGTTTTAAATAACCTAAAATGTTGTTTGGCCAGAGTTCATGTACATTTGGCCTTAATGTGCAGGAGTTATACAGTGAAAGTGTTCAATTTTTTATTTTTTATTTGTCTCAGCAGCAGAGTCCAGCTGGGGACAAAGTGTCTCTGAAACATCAACTGTTGCAGGTCATTGTGCGTGTGGCTCAGTACCGCATGCTCCTCACTGGTGAGTCTTGTTTAAAGGACAAGATTTAGTATCTTTTCTGGTTAAAACATACATTGTACTCATAGTGGTTACATTTTGGACTCTCAGAAGGCATTCTATTTCTCCCACTCCTCTTACAGATTACCTGAACAACCTCTCCCCCGATTCCAAGGAATATAAAGACACACAAGGTACCTTAAAGAAAAAGCAGCGGTCTCAGTGTGGACAGAGGTAGTTACTGACAGGAGAGCATCACTGGCCTGTGTTTGTGACTCTGTGTGTGCAGGGAATTTATTTGCTCACATTGGCATGGAAAGACGGCATTAAGAGAGCCAACCTAGATTATCCTGTTTGTGGTGGAGACCCACCAGGCAGACATTTCAGCCCTCTTCTGTGTGGAGATTGTAATGAGTAATTCATGAGAAGGCCAGATGCAGCAACACTATCTCTTATCTCCAATAAGGAAGCCACCCCAGTCCAGACACGTCCACGCTCTCATTTCAGGTTTTATGTTCGGTGACTTTCTACATGGAGAAGAAGAACAAAGGAACATCTAATCAGCTATGATTATTCATTGTTCACTTCTTAACATGAAGTGTCTTTCCTGATTCCTCTCTGTGTTCTTTTACAGCTGCTGTAGCTGTAGTGTCTGACATTGCAGATCAAGTGAATGACAGCTTGAAACATGGGGTGAGTGTCATGTTTGAAACTCTTGAACCCAACAAACAAACATGTGCCTTCTGAAGTACACATCATATTTGTGGGTTGAGATTGGTCAAGTATTGAGGGATACGGCTTTAACCAACAGCTGAGAAACAAGCTGCAATCAAAATCTGAATGTGCTGTGAAATGTGAATTTTCGGGCAGCAACAGGTCCAACTCTATTTTATTCTTCCTCTGTGGGCCTCATAGGATCACAGCACCCACAGGAAACACCCACAGTCTCCCGAGCTTTGTTCTTAGTGCTGATTAGCAAGTGTTAGCATGCTAACACACTCAACTGAGATGACTACTATCCATCAGAATGTTACCATTACCATTGAGAGCTTGTTTGCATCTAGCTCAAAGCAATGCTGTACTGTTTTTGATGGCTACAGTAGAGCTAGTTAGAGCCGCATACCAAATAATGACGTTTCTAAATAATGTGGCTCTTTCTAAAGAGAACATGCCTGTCTGATCCAGGCGATAACTATGTCTAAAACAAAGAGACGACCGTGAAATAGCCAAGTAGAAGAAAATAGTTTGGGGTTTACAGGAAAATGACGGTTAATGGACTCTTTCATCATTTCTCTTTTGTTGTTGTCTCATTTTCTCTCCCTCTCTTTTTGTTCTTTTGTCTGTGTGTGTATGTCTCAGGAGAACTTGTTGCGTCTGGTCAACATAGAGTACAGTGTTCGTGGCCTGCGGGATCTGCTGCAACCGGGCAGGGTATGACTCAGATAACAGCATTGTTTCCTTGCCAGCCCACCCTGTCTGCCATGCACCACCCTGTGTTGCCCTTTACACAATCATTCAGCTGGGAATCCCCAGCCGGCCAGGCTTTAAAACAACAATAATAATTGCAGATGGCCTCTGGGTGTCATGATCAGTAGACTTGTGAAGTGTTCAGTGTGGTACTGTATATTTGCTGTTTTAATCAGGTCTTTGTGAAGGAGGGCACCCTGATGAAGGTCAGCAGGAAGAGTCACCAGCCCCGCCATCTATTTCTGGTAACCGCTGCTTCCTGTTTGTAGTTTTTAAGTTAACAGACATGTGCCAGTTGTCATACTTAGTTTTATTATCTTTTTATTTGCTTCATTTCGTACAGTGACCACAGTGCGTTCCTAAGGCATCACTGTGTAAAATGAAGAGTCATGTATTTTTTGTCTGCAGTGTTTCTATGTCCAGACTGAGCTATTAAGAGCAGGGTTTCCTGGCAGGATGTTTCTGAATGCCTACTTCCTGCGCCAGTTCTTTACTGACAGCAGAGGGAAGGTCAACACCAGCTCCTTATCCATGTGTGCCTCCTGTTCAATTTTATGACTTTAATTCTGTCAGTTAAATATTAGTTTGATGTGTCTTCAGCACCTTTACTATAGAACATGTGTTCAGCTGACTAAGATCATGCTACAGGAAACAGGGATGTAGAAAGAGGGGAGAAGGATGTAATCGATAAAGTTGTATGAATAAATCACAACATAGAGATAGCCTTGAAATGTTATAATCAAGAAAGATTAGAAAATGAAACGCCTTTGCAAATTATCCATAGGGCATCATCATAGCGCATTGCTTTTCCCTCCTGTGGTGTTTTTGAAATTTGTTGTCTGGGCTCGACACTAAAAAAAGCTCGTAAATGTCTCTTCTGGAGGAATGTTGGTAATCATCGTTGTGTTACTTTTATCCTGCCAGTTTATCCACCCAGACTCCGATCACGTGTTATCGGCTATTATTAATGTTGGAGACAGCATAATAAAAAGAGTCTGCAGGAGCAGCTAGTCTCGTAAAAAAGTATTTAAACACACAGCAAAAAAGTGATACAGAGATTAATGATCCAGTTTGATTTCAACTACTTTGTTATCTATTTGCGGAAGTATCTCAATCATGTATGATCGTAAAAATTCAAGGTAGGGGTTTTAAATTTATAGATCCCCCACATGGATGAAATGTCCCCCTTTGGTGAAAACAGCCTTCTAGTGTCAAACTCTGCACATACATCATTATGCACAGTGAAGCTCAAACATCCAACTAAATAAGCACATTTTTATATGGAGGGGAAGATTAATTTCAGGTTTTGTGTTTAACATTAGAGATCTGTACTGTGTGGAATGGACAATGGTGTGACTGTACATCACCCTAATAAAAATAAGAAAAACAAATACACACAATTTTGTTTGGTTTGAATTGTTACCCATTAAGTGAATCAACTGTGTGAACTCATCAACTCAAGTTTTGTAGTAGAGTGTCACCTACTGGAGAATTTCTGCACATACATGAATGATGTATGTGTCTGTGCCATTTTATTTTGTCCTTTCAACATGTTCTCTGATCGGCGTTTACTTTTCTGTTCTCTGTGAATTATGAGCGTTATCTCTGTCTGTTGTCAGATGAATGATGTGCTGCTGTACACCTACCCTCAGCAGGACGGGAAATACAGACTAAAGAATACTCTGCCACTCACTGGCTTGAAGGTCAGAGTCTTTCATTAAGTTGCCTAATTGATTGATTTGATTTCTAACCATGTTTGACATCAAATTCCCACGGAGTTTATATGCAATTAAAGCTGGCAGTACATGTGTAAAATCTACAGCCATATGTTTTCTTAATTAAATGATTTACTTGTTTGCAGTTAACAGAGAATGTGAGAATAAAACAATTTGCTGTTCTTTAACTGTCAGACTGAAAGGTTTTACGACCTGGTCTTTGATTTATGACCTTACTGATTTCTCAGGTCAGTAAACCCATCGTGGATAATGTCCAAAATGCACTGAGGATTGAAGGAACAGACATCTCCATCACTTTGTCTGCAAGGTGGGTGACACTGTACTGTGTCCTGTTTGAATAATGACTAATAGCTAATAATGGCAGTGATTAAAAAAAGCTTAAAACTAACTAGTGAAAGTAGAGCCTTGAGTATTCTTTTACTCAGTAGTGTAGTGTGCTTTTTGCAGTTCCTTCATTGAAAGAGAGGACTGGTTTTACACTCTGAGCCGCACTGTGACTGAACATGTCAGGGGATCTATAGCATTCAACAGCTGCTCAGGAGAGGTGAGCAAACTCTGCCTCTTTGTATTAATCATTTTTCCTCAGTCGTGCTTATCCTCATCCAACCGGATCGAGATGGATGTCATAAGTCATCGACATCAATTTCTGCAGTGTGTTCTAGTGTCTTTCTGTGTGTTTGCTACAGGCCAGAGATCGTCTGCGTCTGACTCTAGGAGAGAAAGCCCCCACGCTTGTTCCAGTCTCGCAAGTGATGATGTGCATGAACTGCACCTCAGATTTCAGCCTCACTCTCCGTAGACACCATTGCCATGGCTGCGGAAGAGTGAGTCACACACAACTACAACACAGTGCTCTATAAGACATTAATATCTGTTAGGAGATGCAACAAAATGTGTCTTTGGCCGGGAGCTGTGAGTGTGCTGAAAGAGTATGTTCTTTTTAGTGTCCCTGTGGTGAATTTATCTTGTTTCACACAGATTGTTTGTCGGAGCTGCTCCAGGAACCGATATCCACTGAAATACATGAAAGACCGGATGGCCAAAGTGTGTGATCACTGTTACAATGATCTGAAGAAGAGAGGTGGGGAAGCTCTGCTTGAATATGTTTTTTATGATTAACTGATCACTTTGATTGTCAGTCTGCTTATCAGCCCACACATTTAGTATTGCTATTCTTATGCCCCACATAAAATGGACTGAAATAATCAGACAGAGCTTGCAGATTTTGGACAAATAGATTTATTTTACGGGAAATGGATTACTAAAATAAAGGAAGTAGTACAAAAAGGAAAAGTAGAAGTAAGACATGGGTACTGTTTGGCTCAAGGAACCCTGAGTACAGGATAAGCATCATGTAAAGTGTATGAAACAAGGCCAAACAAAAATATACTTAACTGATTTAAATGGGTTGCACATGTGGGTTGTGAGAAGTTAGACTCCAGTTTGTGTCGTATGCGTGCATGAAAAGTGCAAAACTGAAGCCGAGTTTCATTTGTGAAGTAATTTTCCCTTTATAGCACGTTTGTGTAAAAAAACATTGTTACTTGAATATAAAGCCTCTGCTGCAGTGCAGTTCGGTCAGTAAAGGTGCACAAGTAACCTGCCATGTCACTTAGTTTGTCAGTGTTATAGTATTGTCCTCAGCTGAGGTAAAAAAGCAATTGTATATTTCTGCAGGGGGAGACGTGTCTGCTTTGTCAGGTAAGAGTAGCCCTCGTCCAAACCGCTCCAGTCGTCCTCTCTCTGCTGTGTTCCAAAACATTCATCCTCCCAACATCTGGAGACATCGGAAAGGCACCGCTTCCTTCACCCAGGTACGCCTGCAACATGAGAGGGCCATGTTCACTGCACAGTGCAGATCACTGAATAGTTGATCATCATAGGAGCAACAGCTGTGACATGTTTTGTAAGTAACATAGATAGTTATCTGTCCATTCCTGCTCCTATTTTGTGCAGGTGACGGTGTCAGAGGAAGGCTCCATTAGTGGCACTCTGCAGCGCAGCAAGACGAGCAAGAGGAACTGGAAGAGACTGTGGTTCCTCCTAAGAGACAAGGTGCTTTACACCTACCGAGTCCAAGAGGTGAGGGGAAACATGCACTCCCCTTAAACCTGAACAACACATATTTACACTTAAACAGATTTACACAGTGAGGTCTATAGCCATCATGACTTAAAGTGCTGAAAAACCCACATTTTCCTCATCTTATAATCCATTTCTGTTCCCCTGCCAAATTCTGCAGGAGAAAGTAGCATCTGAGAGTTTACCTCTGCTGGGTTTCACAGTGAAGCTACCTGACATGCAGGGGAGAGAGGAGGAGGCCAACATCTTCCAGCTTTACCACAAAAACACTTTGTATTACTCCTTTAGAGCTGAGGACAACTACACAGCCCAGAGGTGAGAAGCATGAAGCCTTGATAGCTAGTTTCAATATCTTTATAGAGATTGACAATTTAAAGATTTTAGTCTGATGACCAACAGGGTTTTACTGATAAGTTGCTGTCTGCGGCGAAAAAATAAGAAAAACAGTCACGTTTTTAAATTTATTTTCACTCAATGGGTCTCAAAGGGTTTTATGGGTCTGGGATTGGATAGTTTTCCTTGACCCACAGATGACCATGTCATTCTTGACATAACTGGAAACATGATCAACACCAGTTGAGTTTCAGTGTTTTCTCTGAACAGCAGCAGAAGTGTGAAGTTTACAAAAATAAAGTTAGTAGTACTAACTCCTCTAGGACAAAATACTACTAAAATCATTTTACAAATTCAGGAGCACTCTATAATATTAGCTCACCTAATAATGCAGCTATATGTCCTGCTGAAAGACGCAGTTTAGGTGAAGCAGACTGAAATTCCTCCATTTTATGCTGTCTTTCTCCTAATGTAACATCCTCTACTCATACAGGTGGGTAAATGCCATGGAGGAAGCCACAGTTTTATAGGATAAGTTACTCTGGGTGGATCGCCGAAAATGGAAATCTACTGCCTTTCTTCTGCTACAGACTGTGAAACCAAAAGGGAAAAATGGGGAATAAGAAAACAATATATTTGATTATGTCTGCAAGTTGTCTGGCTGGACTGAATAAGAGAAGACATCTTGTTCTTTGAGAAGGGACACGATTACCTACTTTGTTAACCTCCAGTGTCCCCTGCCTGCTGTTACAGCAGGTGTGATGCTGAGAGTCACGAGAGGCATTGGCCCAGATACCTGCTGGTGTGGAACATTGCATTGATGTGACCTGTATTTCCCCCAGCAGCTGATCAGCGACATTCCTCCAAATCACGGAGAACATTATGGATTTTTGGAAAAGAAAGAAAATCTATGATTTCAACTATTTCTTTCAACATTTTAAATAATTAAAAAATGACAAAGAAATAACTGGACAAATACTTTAACCACAGTTATTTTACTGTCATTCCAAGGGAGGCTAAAAAGAAATTATAGTTAATGCCTTGAAAAAAACGTGTTTTTACACTGGATTAAATGCATCTTAATGTGACTAATACTTTGAAGCACAGGCTGTATAAAGAATTAGTCATTTTATATGTATAGAAGTGTCTGTAGCGTCGACATGCACTGTATTGTTGGAGATGGCTCTGACAGTGAATAAACAGTTTCTATGCTTTTTTTTTTGCACTGATATAAAAAGGAATGAACCTGAAAAAGAAATATGAGTGTACCTTCATCATAGAGGCCAAGATCCTCAGCTACTGTACTTTTAAAACAATGTTGTTTATGGTTTGAAGTACCTAAAACAAGTGCAATGTATATTGTATTTGTATAAAGACTCCACATCCAGTTGTGTGCAGATTGTGTTGCCCTGCACTGAACCATGACTCACTGGGTTCTCTGATCTGCATTTATTAACTTTGAATTTCTAACACTATTATTTTCAAATCAAGTAAAAGGCTTTAACGATGGAAACAGTCTGTCTGTGTTTTCTCTTTATCCTCCTCATGTCCTTTAGAGGGCAGGTGACTAAACATTAAAACACAACAGGCTGTCATTGACTTCCTATCACTGTGTCCTTGCTGATGGCGCTCAGAATGTACATTCAAAATGGACCACTTCTTATATGAGTCTGCACCGATATGTCATCCATATGTGGCCTGATCTGATGAAGTGTTTCAGATCGCATTTTGAGCAGATCAGGAAGACACCGGGGACTGAGTGATGTGCGGACCAGTGTGCTGCACGGCCAAAGAAAGGCCAGGACTGCCCTGCTTCTCGTCTCCCCGCGAGGCTTCCTGACCCAGAATGATATTAGGCAGAAAGTTTGCTTTCTGGGGCTCCTGAAAAGTTGCAGACACCTCGTCCTACATAGAGGACGGACCATTCATCACTCTACTCTAGCCCCAATTCTGTTTCTCCCTCCTCAGTCGCTTCACCTTTTTAGCTAGTGGTGCTTTCTCTCCTTCGGTGCTGTTGGTGATGACACAATACACAAATTCATTCCAAGTTACAGTTTTTTAAAGTATTTATCATCCCACACTTCCTGCACCTGTTCCTTCTCTCCGAGTCCTTCTGGTGGAATAACATCGGCTGTGGTTCAGTGCTGTGTGTAAAATGTAGCTACTTGATTTAAATATTAATGTTTTTTTTATATTTTTACCATACTGCTACTTTTGATTTCTCTGGTCATAACAAAGCAGCAAGAAACAGGAAATTGTTTACATCATTAACGAGACTAAAACTACAAGTCCAGTTGCACATAAAACTTTTTTTTTTTTACAGTGGGGCAGCAACAGTGTCATAATCCAAGCTTACTTTCATATCGCTGCAGGCAGGAGCAATACAGAGAGCAACAAATAATCAATCGTACACGCACAGCCTACTCAATAAGGTCGGATGCATTCAGCTCTGTTATTTGTGCTCAGCCTCAGGAGTCATTAAAAGCTGATGCCAAAGAAGCTGAAATAGATTTCTGGGCTGAACTTCCTCCTCTGTGGTGTTTTTTCTTATACATTCTATGCTCTGACAGCAAGAGTTGTGTACAACAAACTTCCTGGCCATTTTCATTTTTAGTTTAGAGGAGGTAATGCAGTGTTTGTGTTGAGGTCGTGAGTTACAACAGCATGCAGTCTCATCTTTCATAGTTGTGTGGGCGGCAGATCCTCAGGGGAAAAGTAAGGACTTAATTACATAAGAGCTTGAGATTTAAAAAAAAAACCACTGACAAGTGGGACGTATGGGAAAATAGCTGCGTCCACTTGACATTGGCTTGACATTTCTGGGTTTGCGCCTTGTCTTGTGTCTCTCTGCGCCTTTAACAGATGGGGAGAGGGAGAGAAAAAAAAGATGTGGAGGGGCTGGAAGAATAGAGGGACACACTATGTCCCACTTTGCAAACTTTTTGCAGCCTACACTGTCAAGTCAATGTTACACCTATTCCACCTCCCCTAAAGCTTTAAATAGCCCACTCTCCTTCAACAGGACAAACAGAGAAACACACAGCCTTCAGTACACTCTGCACCTCCGACTGAACATTTATTATCCCTGTTGCCTAAACATGGAGTCTGCATCGTCCTCTATATTCTCCTGTAACCATTCTGTCATCTGCAACTTCCTGCAGAGAGAGAGAGAAGTGTAAACACGTGTCAGCAGGGCCATCAGTTGTCACTGAGGGATGAAAATCTGTCTTAAGTGTTTGAGCCAAGACAAAGTTAGTCAGCGTGTTGTCCGATATCTTGGGAAATACACTTAATAGCTTTCTTGCTGAGCATTAGATGAAAAGATTGATAACTCTGGTCTGTCCATCCAATATGAAGCTAGCGGCAGCAGCTGCTTAGCTTAGCTTAGCATGTATACTGGAAATAGGGCAAAACATCTAGCCTGGCTCTGTCCAAAGGTAACATAAGCTGCCTACGTGGACTTCTAAGGCTCATTTATTAACATGTTGTGTAATTTGTGTAACTCACAAATCTAATGTGCACTTTCGTCAAACATTTATATGATCCTTCGTACAGCTGGATGTCGCTTCTATGTTCTAAACTTTCTGTGTTTTACTGATATGATATTTTTATCCTTCGGGGGTAATAAAAAGCATTATTTCCTGTTGTCTTGTTTAATCTGACAAGTTGTGTTATATGGGACTATTTATATTTCTACTATTATGCTAAGCTACAATGTAGCTTCATATTCAATGGACAGATATGAGTGTGTCATCAATCTTCTCATCTGACTCTAGTGTACTACCTAAAATGCTGAATTATTGTGTTCAGTGACCATGCTTTCTTATGGCTGAACATTGTGCTTATCATTTAAAAACAACACAGTATCAAATAAAGAGGCTGTGGATTAAGAGCGGGTATATGCTGTAGAAGCATCACCGCCAGAGAGATACCAACAGTGCTGCCTACTTGAATTAAAGAGTCTTGGCTCTGCTAGTGACTCCAAAAACAGTGTAGCTTTCCTTATTATTTTATTATCAAAATTACTAATCATAAAGCCTTGGCATGCTTTGCCCAAAATGACCTATCCTCTTTGTACACAATCTCATGTGTCCAACTGTATTTCTTCATCTGCCTTTTTTTAAAGGCAGATACTTTTATGTTGTATTCGTTTATTTGCACATATGAACATGTACAAATAGAAAACAAGTAAGTAAGTAAACAAGTTTGAACCTTGTGCAGGAGAGGTTAGAAGCCAATATGACTCATGAATATACCTCCCCTATTAGATATCAATAATCATAAGAGGATAGAACAGAAAAAGATAAAGAAACAAAAATTGCCGAATTCATTGAATTTGCAAGACTAACCACTCGTGCAAAAAATAAAAAAATGTACAAATTACATATAAGTTTGTTTACAAGTTGTGATTCATTACAAAAAATGTAATGATGTGTTATAAAACTTTGCTAATTAAAGACCTTTTCAGTTGTGTTTTCAAATAACAATAATGTAGATGTTAATTGAAGTGATGGAAGTAGGTTGTTCTGAAGAGATGGTCCTCATCATGGAAGATAAAAGTCCATA